GCGCTCCTAGATACGCGAATCGTAATTCTCGCATTCCGTTATACTCTCCGCGGGATGATTTACTGTTAAAGAGGTGACTGCAGTTTGTTGAAATTTTCCTCCTGACTGGTTTTTTTCTCATATACATATAATACAGGCGCGCACGACAGAGAGAGCGAGACACATTGTAAAAAGGTACGCATAATAACACGCGAGTCATTATCGTCATTAGAACGAGCGAACGCGGATCGTCAAAAGCCCAAATGCGCGACAGATTAATTTGATGAATTTTTCAGATAGCATAAAAATAAAGAAGAAGAAGAAGAAGAAGACGACGACGACGAAGAGGATCGAGAGGACATGGGCTTATTACATGTAGTGCGCCGCGCATCGAAACGCATCAAGTTGACGCGAGTACTTTTAATGACTGCGCGTCAATCTGTGGCATATAGCTTCCGTGTGCGTATATGGTATAAGTACGAAACGAGACCAGCACACGCCGGCGAGTTAATATGCGCCGCCGCGTTTTATCATTATAAATGCAGCAATGCAGAGCGCACGTGACGGACTGATTGGCGCGCGATTTTTTAGCCTGCATAAGATAATGTATATTGTGTTATGTATTGCTTAATAGGTGCGTATATAATAGACATCGATGGTGCGAAGTTCGTACGAAGTTGAAAAAAAAAAAGAAGGAAAAAATATAACTATCCTCGAGTGATCTATGGCAGCTAATAGAGATGTAATCGGCTCGGAGCCTCGAGTACAGTCTCGTAATCGTTATCGTATATCTCTGAACTCAGGTGCGGACTCTTCTTCGTAGTTCGTTCGAGTCAACGCACCGCCACCAAATCCTGAAACACGATTATCATCGTCGCGATGATATTATAAAACCGCACCGACTCGTCAGCAGCGGTATCGGCACCGGCTTTATTCTTTGTTTTTGAATGTGTATCTCATTTTAACGTTGGTCAAAGCGATTACCGTCGAAGCTCCGTCCCGTACGCGTGTTGCAAACTACACCAGCATCAATGCCCACACGAAGCACGTGTATTACGTATACGTATTACATGCGCGAGTACGCAACGAGCAGCCCCGAATTCATGGGAACATCGTTGCGAACGTAAGACTGGGGCGCTGGATCGACGCCGTGGACGAATAATAATAACAATAATAATAATAAGGGAAAAAAGGGGGATGACGAGAAGTGCGTACTCGACTAGCGCCCACTCGGGAGCTAAACGATCGAGCTCACACACACACACACACACACACACACACATACATAGACACACACAGTGTTACACTATATAAATATCATTGTCGTTGGGGGAGGCACGAGTACTTGTCTCGTTGCTGCTGCTGCGCGATTCTCACCGATGATCGGGACCAGGGCTACGTACATATACATAGCTCTTTTTATCGAGAGGCTCATGGTTTAACGGATCGTTTGGCTCCAAGTCCTTTGATTACGACGACGATGACGCTGGCATGCGTGTGTAATGCAGAGTCCGGGGCCACTGCATTATATTGTGTTATCATTGTGGCTTAAACTGGTGAGAAAGTATTTAAAGGAGCTTTCCATAGACACACGAGCCTGAGAATCAATTATTTTGCCACGTTAAACAAGGGTATACGTTCGCAACGACGCGTGCAGAGACATGGAGTTAACCAGATTAGTTACGATCGCGACCGATATAATTGATAATCGTTTTGGCAATCAATTACTCAACGGCCATTACAAATCTTCTCGGTTTATCGGTCGCGGATCTTTTTGCGATGCGATTTGATAAACCAAACTTGCTGCTTCTAATTTGTGAGTTTCTACAATGTACCTCTCTGGTAAAAATGCTCCACAATAATAGCTCGATGACTAAAAAAAAGACCAATTAAAATTATTTGAAACATATAGCCGTCAATTGGCTTATTTTTTTCGATTTTCTTTTTCAACGTGTTTTTTACAAATTTTAAGCAATTAATAATCGTAAATATTAAGTTGATAATAAATATGAGTCAATATTAAATTTATTATTTAATAATTAATATTAACTGCAAAATTGATAATCAAAAAATTACAACTGTATCAAAACAGTTTAGACCTGTTTGCAACTACTTTGAACCTTGCTCACTAGATGGCAAGAACCTTTATATCTGCAAACCTGCAAGCGGCAAAGTTAAAATAATTATATAAAGTCAATTCGTTCTTTATTTAATCAATTTTGGACAGTTAAATTCCCCTCCCCTTGATGAACGCAACGACAGCAACGCTTGTACAATGCCTACCTGTCAAAAAAATCATATGGAATAGTATCCTTCGTGTATTATGTAGCTATGTATAATATATACGCGAGAATCACCGAAACAGGTAATAGGCCTTGGAGTCGCAAAGGTAGCAATCATCGACGGCTGATGGACAATAATAAAAACATAGCGCCGTGTATATATAATGCACGCCGGAGATCGGGAGACGGCGCGCACGCGTCCTTATATATATACGTGCGGTTAAGAAAATAATTAACGACGCGCGCGAATACATATATACGCGTGTTCGTGTGTGTGTGTGTGTGTGTGAGTGTGTGTGTCCTTGTGGCGGGCCGCTTTTTCAGATCGCTCGATCTAGATCGTGCAATTATTCGACACGCGTTCGCAGGTTTTATATTATGCACGCATATATACATGTGCACTTCTCTCTCAAAGGGTCACTTCTTCGCGGCAATATAATATGCACTGGTGAGAGCTGAGAGCACGTCATATATATAAAAAAAGGGGAGTGGCCGACGCACTCTGGCCCGAATTCGAAAACGTTTAGGAAATCGGAGTATATGTATTATGTATACGCACGAACCTCGAGTGCACTTGGCTGCAGTTTTCTCTCTCTCTCTCGCTCCTTCACTGCTATACAGCAGCTCTCGTGCTCGCGCGCAAAGGCCCTTCACGCGTATATATATACTTTTCTCTCTCTCTCTCTCTCTCTCTCTCTCTCTCTCTCTCTCTCTATTGTGATCGAAATTTACCATAGCCGGATACTATTTGGCGGGTGAAATAACACGGCTGTCAGTTAGCAGCGATACGCTAAACACACACTGTGTGTGCGTATGCGCAAGTGCGCGCGTATTAGACTGCAGCCAGCCAGCCTACGTATTAGGTCAGAATTTTCGATCGTGTATAATAATGCGTATAATGCCGTTTGATACGCGGCGCTATTTCATTTCGATCCTATTTCGTCGCTATCTGTTTTTTCTTCTCTTTCTTCTTCTTTTTTTTTGCTCCAGCTCTCTCGTTCTTCGCCGACGACCGATCGATCTCTAGATTCCCGAATAAGTAAACTCTATCGCGCGCGAGAATAGCTGACCACGCGAGAGAGAAGAAAAATTTTATCGGACATCGTGAACGAGCTTTTATTCAAGACTCGATTCGTATAGTAGCATGTATAAATAAGATAATACCTGCCAAGTTTCATTTGGGTGTATATATCTGAGACTGCAGCAGCAACAGCAGCTTAAAAGCAGTAGCTTGTGGCTTGTATGACGAAGAAAGAAACTGAAAAGAAAGAGTTCGGAGCGGAGAAAAATGAGTCAAAATAGGGCTATTTGTCTCGGAGCTAGCTGCCGAACATTATCTCGTAGCAGCATCGCATGAGTATATTATATACAAAATATAATATTCCTCGTTTGTGCGTTTGTGTGTGTACTCGCCACTAGACAAGAGAGGATACCCAGCTCATTATGTTGGGCGTGATGCTGAAACGTGATTTAGCGCATAGAAGCCGGCCCTTAATCCATTTTTAGCTCTTTCACGATACACAAAAGTAGCATCTCTCTCTCTCTGTCTCTCCGTCTAGTTTTCTGGCATCATGCCGCAAATCGCCAAAGCCGCAACAACGTCGATGCACCTTTCTTCTACTCCAATCTCGCCTATTATTTATTCACTTTTTCTTCCTTTCTCCGGTTCTTCTGTTTTTTTTGTTGTTGTTGTCAGCTCCCGAGCCAACAGCAGCGTCTTTCCCCGGTAAATACGTGAAATACTATAATGGCGAGATGATGCACGCGCGTGCTCGTGTGTATTATAGGCGCAACTATTGTTGAGCCAGGGTATATAATCCTATATATACAGCGATTATTTCGTGCCTCTTTTGCACGGGTCACGAGTGTGTGTCTTTATATATACTTATATATACGTTGCACCTTTGCCCGAAAGCTTAGCATTATATTAGAAGTATTTTTGGGGAGAAAAAATAAAAAAGAGACGGAGAGAAAGAGGTAAATTGGCGCGAGGCGCGCGTGCCTGACTAAACTCGGGTGATCGATATAAATGCGTGCAATATACACACTAACGCGCGCGCGCGCGCCACGAGATCGGAATTTTCAAAAGGGACACGCGTATAGGTATGGAAGCGCGCAAAGATGCGAACGAAAGGATAAAGCGCTTCTCGACATTGTTCAAGCGGCTCTGCACACTCGCAGCTGTTAGATATACATAATGTGTGTTGCGGGCGCGACACACGTACGCGCTAATCGTCCATCGACTACTATCTTCGCAGATATGTATGCGATAGGATATGTCGATGGATTTTCAACGTTACTTTGGCCCATTCGTTCGAGGATGGTGTTTAAGAGGATTTAACGAAAATCCTACTCTCCGATTATGCGTATACGACTCGAGTCCGATGCGTTTCTTCTCGCGAATGAACAATTATACGCGAAGCTGTGTTTTTATTCGCGTAGCGAGATCGGTGGTCACTGAAGCTGTGCTGTGCATAAGCGCGTTTTACTTCAAGTCCGTCTGCTTGGGATTAGGGGTCAACGCCAACTAAGAAGCATGCTAAATTGATGTACGATGCAGGATACTCATTACATGTCCTACGAAAAATATATGCAATCCTGAAAATGGTATTTTTATGATTCGTCCAGAGTATAACTATATGAAATTTGACATTGGAAATTTAGATTGAGTCAAATTAAACAGTATGACTCTTTTTTAATAGAAAGTTTATTGGTTTTCTTAATAGTTCAATGTTTTCTTGCACGTGAAGAGCTAAGGTAATATACGAGAAATTTATTATGTCATAATAACTTCTGTCAATGCATTTACAGTTTTACTATTTAATTGTCCAGAACAGAGTGATGCGCCACAACTGCGTGGGCTTTGAGATTCCTTTTTTGTCCAAATTTTTTTCCGCAGAGATCACATGCATGGGTGAGACCAATGTGCTTCACATTCACGTGGGTTTTGAGATTACTCTTGCTTGAAAAATTTTTTCTACAAATATCACATTTATGGGTGACACCACTGTGTACCGAATCGATGTGGGTTTTAAGATTACCCTTAATTGAGAATTTATTTCCGCATATTTCACATGCATGTGTGATACCGTTGTGCACCGAATCGATGTGTCTTTTGAAATAACTTCTATCTTTGCATGTCTTTCCACAAATATCACATTTATGGGTGACACCATTGTGTATCGAATCGATATGGGTATTGAGATTACTCTTACTTGAAAAATTTTTTCTACAAATATCACACCGATGGGTAACACCGTTGTGCGTGGTATCAATGTGCCTTTTGGCACTACTTTTATCTGAGAACTTTTTTCCGCAAATATCACATGCATGTGTGATTCCGTTGTGCACCGAATCTATGTGTCTTTTGAGATCACTTTTTTTTGTGAATGTCTTTTCGCATACATTGCATGCAACTTTGACACCTAAGTGCACTGCATTGATGTGAGTTTTGAGATTACCCTTAGTTGAGAATTTATTTCCGCAAACATTACATGCGTGGGCAGAACTACTATGCTTCGGATTGATGTGGGTTTGTAATCTCTGTTGGTCGTTGAAATCTGTTGTAATTCTTCCTTTTTCTTTTTGCTCGCTAAATTCGCAGTTTAAATTCAAACTCGATTCTTCCGAAACGTTACCGAAATATTCTTTTTTCACTCCATCCATATTTTCTATTTTAATTTTATTCGGATAATCTCGAATATATTTAGTATTGTGCAAGTTTTCCGAATAGTCTTCGATTTTCTGAACTGCCAATAAATTAAAACTCGGCTTCAGATCTTGACATTCCAAAACTATTTCCATGTCTTCACGAGGTTCAGACATTCCGTCATATTCTTGAAACCCGTGGTTCTGTGAATAAGATTTAAGTTTAAAATATCGACCATATGAGTCGAATATATTTATCAATTCTTACTGGATTTTCTCGCAGAAATCTTGAGAATTTAACATCCTGCCCATCTCGAGTCTTGTCAATTATATTACTATTGTTTTCCAAAAGTGACTCATGGCAAGGCTCAGTTTTTACTCTGAAATGCATAGAATAAGATTGAGTATCAATCTTTAATATTTTCAATTTTCCATTACGATGAAACAAAAATTACCTGACAGCCCAGTTAAATACGCCGTTGGATTCCATGTTTATCACTTGAAATTTCTCGAACGACTAATCTCGCCGTAGTAATGTTACACATTGAACTAACCAAATCAAATTTGATAATATTTACAAGTCATGAAAGAAGAGTTTAACCAAATCAATGAAAACAAAGTAAGACTATGTTTAATGTATATAGAAATTACAATGTCGATTGTTTGTCTAATGAAAAATAAGACAATTTTATAATAACATTGTACTTGTAACAAAAAAAAATAAAAGTTATAAAAAAATGTCATTCTGCGTGAACAGAGCTGGAAAAGAGTTAGTAATTTATAAACTGAAATGTCAATTATGAAAATTCAGTGAATAAAACAATAAATTTCTGAAAGATTCAGTTGTGAATTTTACCAATATCCGAGGTGCAAAATAATCGAATTTCTCTCTATTACACCTGCAGCATCAGGTTAAATAAAAAAACAAAGAATCGATCCATCGGTCCACAGCGATTGTATATAAAACCGACTCTCATATGCGCATCGAAGATCGTTCGAGCGGAGAAGAGCATCGATAATATCTCAATCAAGAGTGTATTTTTGGGCCCCCGACAAAATAAATAAAGAATGAGAAAGAAGAGGCAAAGAGCGAAAAAAGGGTCGCGGTCAGCACTTGCAATTTTTTTGATTTTTTCTTTTCCTTTTTTTTCACCGCCTACAATATCCGCTCTCTCTTTCTCTCTTCCTCTTGTGTTTATCTCTGGACCATCGCCTACATCAGACAATTTCTACTTCGAGGCTCATAATAAACTAATGATGAACTGGAAACGAGTATAAACAACAAGTACGAAAAATCATACGAAAATTATATCAGAGCTGATGATGGCGCAATTTCTTTTTCGAAATCAAAAGATCATGTCACTGCTCACGTAAATGCACAAATCAACAAATGCAAACTACATTATGTAAGAAAAAGAGTCTCTCTAACTTGTGCGTTAATCAAATCATAATTTCGGCAAGACTCGACCGATTTAATAAAGCAATTATGTCCGAATTTCGAGCGCGGGGAGGCGCGCTTAGATGGTTCTCTTTAATTATAACGGGGAGTGAATTTTCTACGCGCGCGCGTGTGAGCTTGTGCGCGTTTATAAAATATATACGTAAAAGTAATTTGAGAAGAGAGCGAAGGGGCTGACTGTGTGCGCTCATGATATTTGATTATCGTATTAAGCAGACCAAAAACCAACAACGGGGAGGAGCTTTGCTTATACATACACGTGGAAATATATAATATGCATTATAAAGCTGGTTTGGAGTTTTTTTTTCTTCGTCCCGTATCACACGTAGAGTTGTAAACGAGGGTAAGGAGGTGTACGGAACCTTGAATCTACATAAGTGAGAGGTTTATTACTAATTATTCTTAATTGATGCTAATGGACTTTATATAGGCTTTTAAGGCGTCATTTTTTTGTTTATTATTCAGGTTTGTCGCTTTTTTTTATTAACTTCGAATTTATCATTGATCGATTAAAGAAAAATTTCTTGGACTTGGCCACTATATTAAATAGTATAATAATTTGCCTTATACAAAATATAATTCTCTATTAAATAGGGTAAATTAATAAGAGATCTTTGATACTTGATTAATATATTCAAATGAAACCAATTTTCATTTAGCCAACATCAAACGTACTCATTTCGTGGTATCTATTCTATAATGAAGATTATTTGTAAAACTACCTGTCAAACGTTATATCGCTTTTAATAAGGGAGAAAACAATAAATATTAAATGGCTAATGATGCATGCTCCAGGGTAAGCCCTTAGAAATCTTTTAAATTGATATAAATGCATCTTATTAGTCGACTCATTATGTCCATTAAAAATACCGGATCGTTAAGTTTTTAAATTCTCTCTTTCTCCTCGTTTTTTTTTCAACTCAATCTCTTTCCGAATCGGCACGAGAGGATCTATTATCGATTTCTTCGCGTACAAAGGACAGCTTAAACGCCGCGTTGGGTAGACGGATTTCGAGGCAAATTTCTATAAGTATATGAATGTATCGAACCGTTCGCGCGGTAGCACGATATGCGTATTATAAAACGAGTTCAATCATCGATCGTTTAGCGTGTTTGGTTTATTGGCGGGAATCTCGACGATGTTATACAAGGACTGCGTGGGTGATGAAGTCGTTCGACAAACGAGACCTGAAATATCAGAGGTACGAATTATCGAATCGATTTGAATGAGAGAAGAGGGCAAAAAACGCATACGCAGCAGTTCGAATAATACACCAAAACGAAGCGAACATATGAGTATGAGGGTGGCGAAGGTAGAAAACCAATAGTCGGGCACATATTGAGATGTTGTTGCGAGGCGCGTGGCATCCGATTTGACTGACGTTTCGATGAACGAGCGTAACGATGTAGGCAAACATTTGCTTCCGCAACTCTCGAGAATGTTTTATGTATATTATATTATGTCCATTGATAAAGCGGTCAAATCCGCCACGTGTTCGAACAAAAAGAAGCAAGGAGATATATCCATAACTTATCGTATATAGATACGTCGAGATACGGAGTAGATTCTAAGCCAGAAATTTAATTGTCTCGGTGCAATCCCGCGAGCGCAATGAGTAGTTTGTAATTGAATACAAATACGAGCCAACGAAGTAGGCAAGAAGTAAAATACATCATCGATCTTTTGAAACGAGGCGCGGTGCACATCGCTCATTTATCAATATAATAATATATAACTCGAGGTAAAATAGCTACAGCAATATTTCTGTTCATTTCGACTGCTTTGGTTTCTTAGCGTTCCGATTTTACAGTGTATGCAGTAGCAGATAAATTGCTTGGAATGTCAATGTTTAATGGCAATTTTCGTCAGGTGCATCAGTAAAACATTCAATCGATATTTCAAAAGATTCATACGTAAATAAAGATATTATAGAGATTTTTTTGTATTAAATTATTTAAATAAGCTGTTTATTTCAATATTTTTTAGTACTTTTAACAATTATTTTTGTAACTACAGTGAAAGAATTTGCATGTTAGAATATTTTTTCTTCAAGTCTTTTTTTCCTTCAACGCATCAAATCAATGCGGGAATTTCAACTTAATTTTTCTTGGAAATGATTTGCTACAAATTTCACATTGATAAGTTTATGTACTAAATTAATATGTTTATTAATGTAGTCCTTTCGTGTAAATGTCTTTCCACAAATTTAGCACGGGTAAATGACACGATTATGCACTGAATCAATATGGGTTTTTAAACTACTTTTTTGTGTAAATGTCTTTCTACGTGAGGAACATGGATGATTGATTTTATTATGTACTGAATCAATATGAACTCTGAGATGAAATTTTCGTGAGAATTTCTTTCCACAAGTGGGACATGAATTAAAAATATTGTTATGCACCGAATCAATATGTAATTTCAGAGTATGCTTATGCGAAAATGTCTTTCCACATATGTGACATGGATGATCGATACGATTATGTACCGAATCAATATGTATTTTCAGATTACACTTTTGTAAAAATGTCTTTCCACATACATCACAGTTGTGAGGTTTCCGATTGTTATGTACTGAATCAATATGGCGTTTCAGATTAATCTTTTGTGAAAATGTCTTTCCGCACGTGTGGCATGGGTAATTAATACGATTATGTACTGAATCAATATGGCGTTTCAGATTAATCTTTTGTGAAAATGTCTTTCCGCACGTGTGGCATGGGTAATTAATACGATTATGCACTGAATCAATATGGCGTTTCAGATTAATCTTTTGTGAAAATGTCTTTCCGCATAAATCACAGATGAAAGCTTTCAGATTATTATGCACTGAATCAATATGGACTTTGAGATAACCCTTTTGTGAAAATGTCTTTCCGCACGTATGACATGAGTGATTGATACGCTTATGTACAGAATGAATATGGGTGTTTAGAGAAGTCTTATGCCTAAATGTCTTTCCACACGTGAGACATGGATGATTGATACGATTATGTACTGAATCAATATGGCGTTTCAGATAAATCTTATACGAAAATGTCTTTCCGCACGTGTGACATGCGTGATTGTTACGATTATGTAATGAATCAATATGTTGTTTTAGATAACTCTTTTGTGAATATGTCTTTCCGCACGTGTGGCATGGGTAATTAATACGATTATGCACTGAATCAATATGTTTGCCAGCTCCCAGCAGCGACGCTTTTTCAACGACGCGGACATCCCTCCACTGATTATAGACAACACCATCATCCCGCTGGAGGACAAAGTATGCAACTTGGGCGTAACGATGTCCAAGGACCTGTCATGGGCCTCGCACGTTCGTGGCGTGTGTTCGCGGGCTCATGGAGTCCTCCATCGTCTTGCCACATGCGGAGGGAGCTTGCAATGACCCTGGTGCTGCCGCTGATGGACTACTGTTGCTTGGTGTACCTCGAGCTGCCGGAGTACCTTGCCACTTTGTTGCAGCGTGTCTGGCACGTGGCCGTGCGATTCGTTTTCGGCCTCCGCCGCGACGACCGATTGGCCCCTTTCCTGGAAAGGATGGGCTGTGCCAGTCTCGAGGAAAGAAGAAAATTTTTCCTGGGCTTACAGATGTACCGGGCTGTATCGTTGCGACGCCCCCAATACCTCAGCGAGATGTTTCAGCGCCGGGACACGAGGATCGCGCCGCAAACCAGGAGCAGTTCCCTGCCCCAATTGACGGTGCCTGACTCGAGCTCGGAGGTGCGAAGGCGCTCTTTCTCCATCATGGGCGCAAGATTGTGGAACGAGCTGCCGCTGGCGGTTCGCGACACCGAGTCGCTCCCGCTATTCCGACGCCGATTGCGCACCTACCTTGCGAGCCGTCGCTAGCGAGCTGGGGCGATGACCATAACTCGAAATCTTAAAATAATTATTCGACTAACGTTCGTTGTTGTGCAATATGGGCTTGAATCCAATGTGTGGCGACTTTTATCTTTTATCTTTTATGCAACGCAACACTATGTAAAATTGTATGTAATTTAGTTGGTATTAGTTCACTATCTCTATGAGATGAACTTGAATAAACCTTGTCAAACTCAAACTCAATATGGATCTTCAGAGCAGACTTATATGTAAATGTCTTTCCACACGTTTGACATGGGTGATTGATGCGATTCTGCGTCAAGCCAATATGGGTTTGCTGAGACCTTTTAGGAAATAATCCCTTCAAATGTGTATCACATTCAGCAGATTGTGTACTTTTATTTATTGGAGAATAAATGATCATACTCTGTCCGTTGAATTCGCAGCCAGTATTTGTATCAAAAGTGGTTATAGAATCGCTCAGAAACTTTTTTTTCATTATGCTTTCAGTTCCTATTTGAATTGAAGATTGATGAGACCGATAAGACCAGTCTTTCACTTCATCGGGTACTGATAAATTCACATTGGATTTCACATCTTTGCACTCAAACTCTACTTTAATTTCTTGGTTATGTTGAAATGTATGAATTTCTTTGTTGACTTCATCAGGTGCTGATAAACTAACGTAGGGCTTCTCATCATTGCACTGAAACTTTGTTTCAATTTCGTTTTTAGGTTGAAATATATGAATTCCTCCGTTTTCTAATAAATTAATGCTGGACTTCACATCTTTGCACTCAAACTCTATTTTAATTGCTTGATTAGATTGAAATTCATAAATTCGTCGGTGTTCTTCAAGTGTACGAATCTGTTTTAAAATTAAAGTCTTATGAAAATTTTTTTGGAAAATAGTAATTCAATCAGTTATATAGTTATAAAAAAACTTACGGTACTCTCCTGAAGACATCTCAGATATTGAAATTTTTCAGTATCGGATGCTTGACCTTTCATATCATCATAGCCATCATCACAACACATATCAAACGTCTCTTTCTTTTCTCTGAAAAAATTAATTAATAAAATTTAAAAAAAATACACTCACTTATCGTGATATTTTAATTTTCACAATGACAATTACTTTGCCGCATAGTTAACTGTTCCACTCGATTTCATTTTGTTGAATCTGAGACTAGTATGCACGACTATGCTTCATATGTTATCAGAAATAGTTAGTAATACAAATCGTGCGATCGAAATGTTGACGAATCTACGTGAGCAAAAGAGATGACTGAGAAACTCGAGTGCTCGAAATGTTTACAAATACTGATTAGAATTAGTACCAGCATATGAAGTCGAGGTGGTAGAAATTACTAAACGTTATACACGTGTCACATGAGTGCAATAAATAACAGTTGTATTCGACATTGGTAAATCTCATATTCGAGTAGAATTTTAAACTATTACGTGGCAGTGGATATAAGAGAAAAATTGTATTGAAAACTAAAAATTTTCTCTACTAAGAACAATTGATTCAAACTTTGTTTCGGACCGTTTTTGCGTATTTTCCTTTGGTTGCACTTAGATCTTTTTCGGTCATGTCACACGAGCGAAACCACCAATGTACAGTTTTTAATCACGTACAAAAACTATGTAGTTAAAATGACGATCATTACTCACATTTACACACTCTTCTCGAATGAGTGGAAATTCAATTCTTCAGAGATCTCCGTATCCCGATCGCAAAACCGTCCAATTCTGAATATTTATAAAAACCAATCCAAAAATTCGGTATGCTAGCCGCGAGAATGATGCTAACGAAAATCGTTGATTATTTAATAATTACTCGTTTTATTAGAGATAATTGAATTTTCTCACATGCCCTAATCAATCACATTGTAACCAGGCCGCAAGATTAAAAATCTTACTAATTATGCAGTTATCAAAGGTAATCAAATAAACCAATGTTTAAAATAACTAATTGTTAAAATAATGAAAGAGCATATTATAATTTTAATAATTAATGAGTTTATCAACATAAGACTAGAACTAGAGGTGATGAACATATTGGGTTTTGCTCATTTTCTCCAGTTAGAAAATTAATTGGTTAAAACGATTCTCATTTAAGTAAGAAGCACGAATTGAGTCCTCTTCTATACGTAAGACGGGTCGTAAGAATCTCTGCTCGAACGCGGGTGTACTCGTTTTCGAGTGGGTAAATGGCCCTTCCAAGCCACATGTATATAAAACATAGTTGAATTTACGAGGCATGCCCCAAGAAAAAGCGAAAGAGAGAGAAAGAGAGTGAAAAGAGTCCGGTGGTCTTTTGGAAAATTTACGACAATCTTCACGAGGAAGCCATTATTGGGTCTATCATAGCAGGCGCACTCGAAGACATGAAAAAAGGAGGAGCTCTCCTCGTCAATTTCTTCGAAAACAATTAGTCGTTATTCATAGGCTCGATACTCGGAGCCAATATATATAATATAATCGAAGCGAGCAAACTACTATATTACACGCTCGATTGGACGCAGCCCAGGCTTCTGACGTCGTCGCATCTGCGCCGCACGCACACACGTCTCGCATGTGCAACTCTTTTTTTTTCAAGTTTTGCTCATAATGCGTGCGCATAGATAAAGGCAGATATAATCGCGCGATTTCACAGTCAATGCGACACGACACGCGGGCAACTCGACACTCTTCGAATATATAAAATTTGCAGCTTGCATGCGACTCGCCGAAAATATAATACAAGGCGCATGGTCAGCAGCAGCAGCAGGTTGCTGTTGTTCGACACTCGCAACAAAAATTGCATCAGGAGCAACAGCTGATGACGAGACGACGACGAAGACGACGACGATGATGATCGAGGCGCGTGCGCTCGCACTCGACCGCGCGAAAATTGTATACGTAAGTATATTATAAAGCCAGTGCACTTAACTATATACAATGTATATAATACGACGTTATATTGCGTGCGCTCGAGCGTAGGCGTACTTTTGTATAAACACACACGCGTATACGGCTTATTGCTCGCGCGCGAGAGAGCATGAAAAGTGAGGAGAGAAAAAAAAAGATAGACTGGGAGGAGGGAGATTGGGGGGTGGGGGGCAGTACGACTTGATTTGTGAGCCCGACTGTAATGAAGTACACGCCCACTATATATAGCTTCGTATGTACAACGTTCGGTACATTCATGACACTTGTAAAGTCACTCGTCGACTTCTCGATGTTTTTTATAATATTAAGTTGTTTTCGGTCCATGTAATGCCTCGCGAGTAATGCTACGCACACACGTGTGGCATTATATATTTCATGCTCGTTTCATTGCGCAAGCAAAAAGAATTGACCTCTCAATTAATTGTACATAATATAATTGACTCATCGGAAATAAGACACGATCGTTTATTCATCCCTACTTTGACAAAAGTAATTACAGTTCACCACCAATTTATTACTTTACGCGTGCACTTTAGTTATTATATTGCTTTTCATTGAATTATCGAATCGAAACGATATCAAACGGGGATGGGGGACAAGAAATTCAAGAGCGCAGCGGGCAAGGGATGGTTCATCGAGCTTTTACGTAAAATATACGCACGCGAACCGAGAAAGAGACACGCGGAGGCGTCGAGGAGTGTCGTCCGAGCGTGCGATGTCTCGCTTCGTTATATACAGAACGGTCCAGCTGATGAAGAAGCGATCGGTCTCGCCCGAAGCCCTACAAAAGGTACATGATGACTTTGTTCGTTCATTCGCGCTTAACGGAGGCACCTCCGCTCGCGTAAATTCGCGATGTATCTACATTAAATACGCGATGTATATGTTATAACGCACGTTACACCCTAAAGAAAAAAGAAGTTAAGAGGGCATTTTGTGCGAGAGGGAGCAGCTGTCGCAGATGCTGTATATAATGCTAATATAGTCTGTCAGCTCTCGCGAGCTCGAATCTAGCCTCCGCGTATAATATTCTCGACGTCGTCGTTCTTTTTTTTTTGTCCTCGGTTGCAACCACCGCGCGGCAGATTAATCCAGGGTCTGACAATGCTCGCTTTAAGTCGCCAAATCGCCTAAACGCTCTAAATTCGCATATGGGCCAGGCCTAATTTGTATTGTATTATGCTTTATAAATATATAACCGCATATCGAGGCGTTTTATAGAGCCGGACTCCGGGCTACTATGCTTTGTACATGTCGCGTGGCTCATTTTTCTCCGGGAGATTATACTTTGTCAAAACGAGGAGAAACTTCCATTTTTTTTACTTCTTTGCGTTTATAATTCGCTATAGAGCGGTGATTGGTTGGCTTTCGACATCTCTTACCTATCAGCCTACATATAAAGTCGTGATTTCTAACTTTTTGATATAATATAAATTAAAGTATCCCAAAAATGTCGAACTTACGCGCAACGTTACGTCGAGTGTGAATATAATTATCATTACTAGCGACAATTTTCAAACAGCTGCACCATCATAGAATTATTAGTCGTTGTACACATCGACAGCTTCGGATTCGATATCTCGGAACTTTGTATCGTCGTAAGGCCATATGGCTATTTTTCTCTCTTTTTTTAAACATCTCGATCGCGATTGTGTGTGTGAGTGTGTGTAGGCAAAAAAGCGCATGATTGATTGTTTTTCATTATCGAGAATAACGCGCTCGTTTTAACTGAAATTGTATCGAAGGTCGCGTGCCGCAGGATCATTGGCGCTTCTCTCTCTCTCTCGCTTTTGTCAATACATTGCGCAACGCGCGTAACTATAGAGCCAATATACATTACGAGCACGTCCTATCCCAACAAACGCGTCAAGTTTGTTGGCCGAGAAAAATTCGATAATAGTGGCGTTAAGGCACGTTTCGCTTATTATTATTATTATTATTATTTTTTGTTGTTGTTATAATAGGCAAATTTTGGAGCCCTGACAGACAATGAGGGTCGATGAGCCTATAATATGAACGGATAGTAGAGGAGCTATTGTACAAACCCTAGCAATAGTATCTAATATGTAAACAAGGTAAAAATTTGTGGCAGGCGCGCGCGCGTGTCGGCGTTTGTTGGTTTTTTCGCTCATATTCCCGTCGCATAAGTGTGGCCGATTTCGCCAAAAAAAAAAAAAAAAAAACGATTTTAAGCCAATTAGACGCATCGTCGTGTGCAAACATCCATACGCTGAGTGTGTTCTGCAGCGACGACAGGTCGCAATTATCTACTCGTACTATAATGCTCGCGCGTGTGTGTCCGACCTTCGAGGCGTAAAAGCTCGACGGAGCCAATTTCCTAATACGTTGCGACTAATGCGCTTGGCACGCAACGATCCTTCGAAGCGTAGCGATCATCCTCCCGCGCAAAAATAGTAACTGCAACTGGCCTGACCTTGATTACTCAAGAAGTGCTACAAAAAATATATAAAGCTACGTTATGGTGTATTCAATACATTGCTCAAGTTCGAGCTTTTCTATAAATAATATTTATATAACGAAATCGTATGTGCCACTGTACACGTTTAAACATGCTACCGCTCGCAATACCCACTTCTATGCACGACGTGCAGGTATATATCCCTCCCATTTTCGAAGCGTTTCGCGTGCGCCGCCGTTTTTGCAGCCGATGCAGTTGTGCGAGGCACGCGTATTATATACCAAGCTGCCTACCTCTATATATGTGCTATACACAGAAGCGTATATAGGTAGGTATATATACACACATTGGGGAAAGTCGATGGATTTAATTTGCTGGAACAAGCGCGAACGCCCGCGCGCCGACCAACTGTCATTTTTAGTGTCGAGAGAGAGAGAGAGAGAAGCGTGGCCGGCACGCGCACGATCGCCACTTCGGAGCTTCATTTTTTGGGGCCTTACATATACTCCACTAGCACTCAGACACATACATATAAGGCTCGTCGCATACACCACACATACGAGAGCGCTAGGAATTATCCCTCTGCGCCTTTACTCTCTTTTTCTAATGCGATATTCTCTCTCCTCTCTGCGCTAGAGCAAAATCAGCAGCAGCAGCAGCCGCACTAGTCTAGGAGCAAATCTTTTTGTTCTTCGCCGCTCGATGATGATCCGAGATGACGGCTGTATACACATAAACTATACCGTGTACCCCGTAGACACGTCTGTCTTTGTGTGTCGTTTTTTTTTTGTTTTCGTCCCTTTTCTTTTTTTTAATA